CTTCACAGATTATTTTTTGTTCTAATTGCAACATTACCTTTTTCAGATGGCATGGTACTACAATAAATGCAGTTATCATATAAGAAGCACCAATAATTCGGAAGAATAAAGAACACACATATAACATTCAGTATAACATTTTTACGAAATTTCAGCAGTTCATTAAAGAAATTCCAATACCTTTCACTGTGTGGGTTCCATTTTTTGCTTTGAAGAAAGCTATCAAAGGAACAGCAGGAGTGCATGATGCAAAAAGCAACCTTATAAAAATTACTATACTTCAGTGTGATTTTACTCATCATTTCAATTTAGATGCACTTAGAACCTCTGAGTGTTCTAGTCTGGTTTAACATTTTAAGTCAAATAATCTATTGATTACCTTAATATTTTGCCTAGTTTTTATTACAGATAGATAAATGTAGACATTTTGAATGACAAAGAGAACATGCTGTTGGGGGAAAAGTTCATGCAGTTCAAATATTTATACTGAATCTTTTTGATGAAAATCTATTGAGGAACTAATTTGTACACACAGACATAGATATCATAACAATCTATTTGCAGGAGATGTATCTTTCTAACTTCTATGCAAAGTAAAGGTAAATACTGTATAGATTTAAATGTGTGGAACATACATTTGTACTGCATACATTATTGCACTTTTATTTCCATAAACAAATGTTCACAAATAGGGCAGCATGGTGGCACAATGGTTAGCATTGTTACCTTGCATGGCAGGAGCCCTGAGATCAATACCTGGGGCACTATGGGAGTTTGTATGTTCTCTCTGTGTTTGTGTGGGTTTCCTCCCAGTCCATTTTATGCTTTAAGTTGTATTTATGCATCAACTGTTCATGCATGTGGAATATAAATAAATATGAATCAGCAATATAATCCAATGTAAATAGTTTAGTTCTTTTTCATACCATTTCAAATGTGGTGTTTCAGTGGCCCACTAGCCATTGGATGCCCGGATGGTTGCTGGTCAACCCAATTGCACTAACCATGACCTCAGATACTGTTTGTTTTCAGTAAAGAGTTTACAATGTTTTTAATACTGAACACAGTATTCAAAATTAGGTCTTACTAGTGCTTTGTAAAGCTTTGGCATAATGTCTTTGGATTTAAAATCTATACTCTTTTGCTGTATACCCAGCATTCTCTTTCCTTTTTTATTGTATCCTCACGTTTTCCTGATCAGGATATACCTGTAGGAAAATCTACAGCACATATTAAATAACCAGGTCATTTTTTTGTGCATAGCTTTCTGCTACCAGTTTGGGTAATGTTGCACTTATCAATGTTACATTTTATTTTTCAAATGTCTGCTCAGTATACATAGTGTGATGCTACAGGGGGTGCGGTCACCTGTGGGCTGAGGCAGAGTCTTTGCAAAAAACACAATTTTATTAAATAAAAATAAAGTTCTGTCAACATTGTTTGCATCTGGTTAATTAGCAGTTATCATCCTAGGTAAGATGGTTTCCTGTTCATTAACCAAAATCTCAAACCATATGCTTGCATTACCTTAGTTTTTAATTTCAAATTGTGATTAGTGACTCTATCAAATGTTTTCCAGAAATATAATATATATTCTAGTACTACAGTATGTACTGTACTGTTCATATTGCTTTTCAAACAATTCTAGCAAGTTAGTTAAACTGTATTTTCACATTCTAAATCCATATTGTCCATGTTTTCTAAATATTATTTCAATTTAAGTTCAACTATGATTTCCATACTTTTACAAGTAGGGGATCTAAGAGTGATAGGTCTATAGTTTGCTGGTACAATTGTGTCTCCCTTTACTGTATATGAAAGTTTTCCTTAGGCTTGTATTTCACAGACTTTCTTTTTCTTCTGTCTTATAACTATGGAATCTGTACCTAATCAAATTAGGCAAAGGTGAATTTAATTAATCTTTTCTGATTATATCTCTATATTTAGATGTAACCGATAAAGAATATGTTTAGTATTAAATGTCAATCTCTAAATGTGTTGCTTATTTACCAAACAATGATGATCCCAATGTTTATAAAATACCCTTCAGAAAATGTGAATATTGAAGGCAAACTGAAATTGTAAATACAGTAGCCTTTGTTAAGTGGTAAGATGTACTGTATTATTGCAATACTGTTTAAATGGGGTACATAAATAATGGAAGTAATACATTATAAAGTATATAAAGTATGTTGAAAGAAAACAGCAAGAATAGGGCGGAGCGGTGGCATTTTTTGTCATTTTAAATTGAATGATTGTAGTTCAGTTGTTCTGTTGTGTTCATTATATAGCCATGCAAGTACATTTTTGGCAGTAATGAGTTTGATATGCAAACAGACATTTTAAATGTAATATCAATTATTAATGATTTGGTGATAAGTCATTGAATGGCTCAACTGACACCAGAGAAATGAGAATAGTCATCTCATTCAGTGAGAAAGTAATGCGATGAATAGGAACACTATACCCTGATTTCATAATCCAGTGAAAAAACTTGTCAAAAGATTTTAAGACAGGCTTCTCTCTCATGTTTTCTTTTCTGTTTTTGAAACAGAATATTGTGTTATAAAAATATTTTTATTAGTACACTATATAGATATCCAACCAGTTTTGAAATTCCAAAATACTTTAATATTTACCCACCTACAAGGCCATTCATCATTTGACAAGTTGTATGCTCCACAGCAACGAGCAAAAAAAATAGCACCTGGATAGAGGTAAAACATGTCTCTGTCTGACATCACTACAAGCCCGCAAGTACTCTGTAATGCATAAGAGTTGGTATTTGCTGGACATCACAGAGACCCTGGCTGACTAATCCCAACCATGCCACAATTGCCCAGTGTGCACTAAAACTGAAGGAATACCAGTCACAGTCAGCTAGTGACATGACTCAAGAACAAGCTAGAGTTCTTGAACTAGTGTCTGTAACTCAGAACTAAAATAGCACACTGATGGATGATTGTCTTTGCTGGTTCAACCATCCAGGATTCAGTTTTTAGAGACCATCCAGTTATGCACATGTTTTAACATTGCAAAACACATGCCAAAGAGTACAGTGTCTATAGTGTTAAAACAATGTAGTGCTTGCCTTATCTACCACAGCACGAACTGAACCCCTTCAACCCAATCTTGATTGTTATATTTCACTGTCATCTACTCCAGAAAGCATCTTGAAATTCTTGTACACAACTGGAACTAGAGAAGGTAACCAAGGGATTTTTTAGATAGTTGTTCAAATGAGGTGACACTGTTGCAACTAGAGTTTTTTTTATTATGTGGAACTGGGACAGAACTGCTACCATAAATGTAAGATTTTATTACTTTATTACCGCTAGGCAAGGCTTTCAATAACTTGGTCTGGGAGTTCTTCCTACTGATGTGGACAAGAAGCTCTATCAATACGTTGAAATAAAAAAAGAGTTCTTCAGAACTGCGAATCTCTGGAGCTTTAAATATTTAATCTCATTTAAGATTAAATAAGACTATAAAAATTGGATTTTCTTAAATGCATTATTTGTAGAGTAGTAGGATGGATCATAGTCAGAATGTGCTTTTGGGTGTCAAGGTATGTTTACAGCAAGTTTGATGTACTGTATAATGCTCAGCTACAGAAACATTTAGCATTGTTTACAAAATGTACAAAGATAATATAGATCTGGAGGAATCCATGTGACATTATTGGTGAAATTGGTCAAGGTAATATTTCATGTACTGTACATCATTCTGGATGGGCTAGAACTCATTTTGATTTGAATAAAATGGATTTCTTTCATGTAAACATCACAACAATTATTTGAAAGATACAACAGGAAATGTACTGTATATGCTTGTGAGATTAATTGCTGTAAAACTGTTTAAAAAAATACCAGCAAGATGCAGGACTGGATTGATTGGGCAATGACCTTATTTAGTTGAAAACGTATATCTATGTATTTTGTGTTTTTGGAGTACAAAGTTTATAGCTCAGAGACAAATATCTCAGACCTGGAACTGGTCTAAAATTAAAGTGAATTTCTTTTACAAGAGTCTATTGATTCCAGACTGGCACTTTCACTGATTGTAGGATTTGCAGGACACTCACATACAGTAGCTCCAAGAAGGACCTTGCTTTGAGCAGACTAAAGAAACCATATCAAAAAAGGAAAGTACATCAAGCGGGGGAAAAACAAAACACAGAACACTTAAAAATAAAAAAGGCACGAATCAAATGATTAAAGTTTTTTTTTCCAGGAGTTTTGTATTGTACAGTATATAAAAGGCATTTTAACTTGGATTTGCCCATGTGAGTTTATGACAGGATTCTTTTGTAGGATGTTTTGTGAAACGTTATTATTCAGTCTGCCTGCTAAAATATAAAACAAAACAGTGTTATATCAAAATATTGATGGTATAATGTAATGTTATATTTTTAATTTCTTTTTTTGGGAAAACCAATGTATTACCTCTACCCTAACTGAAACAACTCCACAATGTTATCAGAGTATCAAGCTATAAGAAGCAACTGAATTTGCCTTTTATTTTCTTCTAGTACATTTATCTTTTTAAGACCATTATAATCAAATTTGATGGTCAATTATGTCACAGGCCTAATGGCATGTAATAATATTGTTCCTTGAAGGACGATTTGTACAGAAATGTTCAGGGTGATTTATTGAGAAACACACACCTTCCCCAGCTGTTCAGAATCAACTGAAGATGGAGGATGTATTTGATTTCTGTTATACCTGGGCTTTGCCATCAATTATATTAAGAAAATGAAGACATACTGTGGTGTATAGGAATTCAGGGCACTGATGTGTGTCGAAAAAATTACATATGGAATAAAGTCTAACTCTAAAATGAGAGAATTTCAGATTTCCCTAAAGACAGATTAGGGAAAAGACATACAGGGGGAAAGATACAGTACTGTAGATATTTTTTTACTGTTTCCTATGAATGTACAGTTCCTATATTTGAAAATACAACAACATCAACAACATCTCTGTTTCCTTCCACAGGATTAGAAAAGATTGGGAGGGATTCCACCTATGAGCAAGAAGGAAAAGTGCAGTTTGTCATAGACGCAGTTTATGCCATGGCTCATGCATTGCACAGAATGCATAAGGAGCTTTGCACAGGATATATTGGTCTTTGTCCAAGAATGAGCAGCATTGATGGAAAGGAACTGCTAAGCTATATAAGAGCTGTAAACTTTAATGGTAAGTCATCAGAGTTTCTCATAATTATAGCGTAATTAAAACTGTTTTGATGCATACATACCGTAGCTTCAAATTCTGTTTAATTGAAATAAACATTACACTACAATGTTTTCTACAGTATATTCAGTTTTTTTTTCTTTGAGGGTGTATATTGTGTATTGTGTTACATACAATATATTACATTCTAACTTCATTGCTTTAATTTTAATACACAGTTTTACTTTGACATTTATTAAACTGTATATTGCTTTTTTTAAATAATATATGTATGGAAAAATACATTTGACTTCAAATGTACATACAATTCTGATTTTACTGAATTTACAAATAAGGGTGAAGGATCAACTACATGATTAGTAACATATTGTAACAAACGGCCGACATACAGGTTGTACGAGCCGGTTGCAGTGCAGTGATGGCACTGTCCTCTGCTTCCTTGCACATAAAAAAGATTTTGGCGGCCCTCTGGGTTATAAAGGCCTTCTTTAGGTCAGCAGGCAATATCCCTGTTGAACAACACTGGAGATCTGGGTTTAATCCTGAGGCGGGGGACAAACTGGGGCAGGAGCAGCAAGGGCAGAAACCCCAAGAACCCAGAATTGCTACAATACTGTATATACAGTATTGAATACAATCAACGGAGAGCTTTAAGATTTAACCCCATAAAGTGATTATTGGCTATAGTGTTCAAGTTGAAATTGTGTTATGGGTTCAGATTTCTCTTTGAAAACAAATTGTCCTGGCCTTCACTTATGTGTCTGTCTCTAAAGAATCTGACATGTTTACATACAGTGTCTTACTAAAGCATTCACCCCCAGGTTCTCTTGAAGACTTCTCAGTTCAAGAATAAAAACAAGTTTAATTCCTTATGACTGTCACAGTAGGACAGCTGCATGCAATTACATGCAATTACATTTCACAATTTGTTACAGTTTAGTATTGAGCTCATCGGAGTTGGCATGCTAGAATTCTCTTCACACCATGAACACAGGAGAAGCATTGTTAAGGGACCACGAAAATAACTTTTACCATAGGGAAACAGTCATGTGAATTTGTGCCAGTAAAATACACAGCATTTTGCAAGTGAGAATGAAACAAAATATATAATTTGGATCTTCTGTTACTACCTCAACTTTATGAAGGTACTGTACATCATACTGTAGTCTGTGTTCTTGAAATGATATACTGTAGCATTGTTAATTCAGACTGAACCTCTGAAAAATGTCCTCTTTGTCTCACCGAGACCTTTACCTATAATGTAACCTTCTCACATATGAATGCTATAGGTTTAATAAAAAGTAGTATAACAGTACTTACTGTAGCTTATCATGCAGCACTTGAAGGTGAGAGTCAAGTTATTGACAATTATTTAATTGATACTGTAGCTCCTGACTGGTATGAAGCCTTACCCTTGACAAACACAGGATATTAACCCAAATAACAAATCATTTTAAAATGCTTTTTGACTTAGAGTTTCTGTAATCCATTGCTAAAAGATCTGTTAAAATAAAAGTACCTTTTCAGCAGTACCTTTCTGCTGCTGTTAAAGTTAAAAATGGAACATATAAACTTTAGCGATTGGAATTTGTAACAAACATACTGTATAAACATACTGTAAATAAATTGCCTTGCTAGTGAGGGAAAACATTAACTTTCAATCATTTTAGATTTTCAATTTTCACCCCACAGCAGCATTTGTGTTGCCAACATTACAAGAAATGTTACTTGGACCTGTGTGTCAGTTTTCACAGATCACACCTCTGTATCAGTGACATATTATCAGCACCCTGCTATTCTTGCTTTTGAAAATTATACAGACTAAAAAAAGGAGGATTTTGGCCACTTGCTGATTTAACTAACGAGTTCCTGCATGCAAGAAGGTGATTTTCTTAGTAAAATTAATTTTATTACTTTATTAAATTATTTAAAATAATTTGGGTACAGTATAATTATTGTCCAGCAAAGCACATTTTCAAGAAAGTTATGCTGAGAAGCCTGGGGGAAAGAACAATGCTTTTTAAACCCTTCAAAAAATGCAACATTAACAATTTAGTAGTTTCAGCTGCACTGCAGTGACAGCACATCACAGTATAACAGGAAACTCCAAGTCTGATTATATTGGATAGCAGAACTTAATTGGAATTCCTAGATTAGCTGTGAGTACTTAGTTATACTAAAGTTATCAGAACTGAAGTGAAACTATGGTAGGGGAAAATGACTTTTTCAACACTGCAGGCTTCTCATCAGTCATTATGGATATTGATTGGAAACATGCTGTTCAAAGGCACCATTGAGCATCTATACTTAAGATTTTAGAATTGATTCATTGTCTATATTTTAAGTAATGTGCAGGAGAATCTGAACTCTGTATTTGTCTTTGAAACATTAATGTAACCATTTAATTTCTTTATTGTAAAACAATAATTTACTGCACAGAAAAGTTTTTGATACTGGTCTCTCCAGATTTAATAATTTTGAAAATGTGGTGTTTAAAAATGAATTTGAAATGAAAAATGAAAAAGTGAATTGATTATGTTCTGCAGAGATGGACATTTTTTTAAATCTGGTTCTTGATATTTTATTTATTTTCAAATTAATTTCCAAGTTTGAGTAGTGTGATTCATCAAATGCAAGTTATTAACCGAAGTTCGGGTGGCATAACAACAGCAAGTCAATACCACACAGCTGTAACTAGTCACCAATATTACAAGATTAGCTCTATAACAAACTGAAAGTCGTTCCTTCACATTCTCCTCTAGCATCCCACCTCTGCTCCATCTCCATATTGCAGCTACCTTTTGGTCCTTTGGTTCAACCCATTTAAATGGGGTTCAAGCCTTCTTACCTTATCGTCAGGAGGCTATCCATTTACCAAGTGGGTTAAGCCAAACTTATCTCACCACTTATTTTAAACATTCACAAAGCATTCTATTCTTGGGCGTTGTTGTCATTAGGGAACTTTATAATGGAGTAATATTTTTATAAATATGAAGCAATAGCTTTTTATGAACAGAAACAAAAGCTTAAACATGAACTAACTAAAATTCAATTATACATTTTTTAAGGCTATAAGTAACTTGCCAGTGTATCTGATGCTGTCTCTTGTGAAGATTCCTCTCCAGCCTGTTGCTAAAACCGTAACCATTGGCAAGCCATGCCCCTCTCTGAAACCCACAGGGATTCGAATTTTCACTGTTAATTGGAAATATCTATAAAAATTATGGGCATTGACTATGTGTACAATATTTTATAGTTATGGCCTATGCTATCCTAGGGAGAAGGATGTCCAGCATCTAAATAAATATTGGTGCAGTTTTCAAATTTTCAGTTGCATAACTGGGTGGATCATTTCCCTTGGCCTTCTTATATTCCATTTCTAATGCAGCTCTTTAAAGATGAAGAGCTAGATACATTTTATACACCTTCATCTCACTGCTTTCAACATAGATTTCAAGCTTCATTTCTTTTCAAATTTTTCAGAAACTGATATGAAATCTGGCCCTTACATTTTTTTTTCAAAACCTTTATACTTCATGTTGATATAAAAGAAACACCCAAGACTAATGTTTCTAATCAAATATTTTAAACATAGTATTAATAAATGTAAAGCCAAATACAAATAAAAGAATTCCAATAGGTTTGCAAAATGAAACATCATACAGTACATTGTCATGATGTCAACACTACAAAGCTATGGCCTCCCTAAGCATTAACACAATCCTAGCAATTTTGTCACATACTGTAGACCTGATCAGTCCCTAGATAGACTGATTATACAATTCCTGTACAGCCAACTGGCAAGGCTAACTGGTCATGGTTGTTTCCTGTTAATGGTTTTGACAAGTGATCCCACAGATATTCTACTGGACTCAGGTTATGAGAAAGAATCTAGCTGTGGCACGACCTTGCTTTCTTTAAGTTTTGCTATTACAATCGTATTACTATATGGCTTTGTATCGATCTGCTGGAAAATCAACACTTTTGGATTTGCTTAAAAGAAAGGAAAAACTTGGTATAAAGATCTTTTTATGGTTGTGCAGTACATTTGCCCTCAATTTGCATTTAAGGTATTTTGGTGTTAAAACTGATGTCTGCTCACAATAAACAGACTTTCACCACTCAACATGTCTTGAACAGCACAACCTCACATGTTTTTATAAAAGATGCTAATTTGTCTCTTTTTGATCTTAACCCTCAATGGCAGATCATTTTCATGCAGAGAGCTGTTGTTCTGATGATTTCCAGATTGTGTCATTCTGGAATGCTGCAGCCTGTCACAGCCTCCAGTAATCAGACACAAGCCACTGCTACTTCCCACAAACGCCGACGCACATCTTAATTACCCAACCATGTCCCTCAGCCTGCACCACGCCTCCAGGCAACCCACTCCTTCAGGGCGCCTCACCTGCTCTTCCACGCTCAGTATTGAGTTAATCCTCCCAGAGCTACCTTTGCTAACTTTCTTCACCTGACAAACGCTTCGTCTTGTGATATCCCGGCCACTAGACCCACGCTTCCTCTTGACCACGAATATTGGCTATGCAACTTGACTAAGTAAACTCGGCTTCCATTCTCCTCTTTGTACAGTATCTCTCTCTCTATCATCTTGTATCAAGCACCGCCGAATGCCCTTTGCTGAGACCTCCAGTAGCTTACACAGCCACTGTAGTCTAAACACAGTTATGAAATTGGATGAGGAATCTCTGGGCTGATGTGGTGACCTGCCTTTGAGGATGAGGTCTATCCTTCACAGAACCATGGTTTAGTTTTCTGGACTTCCCTGCTGATTGTTGAAGCAGGACATGTTATTCTCCTGGCAGCTTGTTTAACAGGCAAGGAGTCTTCAATCATGCTGATAAGATCCAGGCAATTTTCATTACTCAAAGTGGTTGTATCTTTTGCTATTCTTGTGCTAATTAAACTCTTGTCCTCATACATTCATACAGATGTGTAATAAATGGATTTTGATTTTAACATCCAGTAAATATCAAACACTGAGAACCCTGCATTTCCATAAAATCACATGGTTTGAAAAGTTGTGTTTAATTTCAAACAACAGAACTACTCAATCAACGCATCTATCTGCTCACTATTTAAAATATACAGTAGGAGCATTACACATGTGCCAATGATCTATTAATGTAAAATTTGGACTGTTTTTTGAGCTCTTTGTGACTCAACATACTGTTTAAAGGATGCTCAATCTAGACACTTACTATTATTTTTGCACTTTCTTCTGCACTTTTATTACCTGACTCAATGAGTAATTTAGTACAGTTTTTATTTTCCTTTTTTCTCTGTTCCACTGTTTACATACTGTTCACTACATGAAGTAAGTATCAAGGAATAGGAATTCAATTAAATTGCTGCCTTACTGTATGTAGTTTTCCCTGGACAGTTCTGATATTTACAGTAACTATTCTTTTGTATTTTAAAAGTCTTAGTTATATTAATACAGTATAAAGGTTCCATCATTACAGTAAATATAGTCTTTCTAAAACATTTTAGCACTTGGTATTTTTTTTAAAAGTACTTGATAATGTATTCTGAGATTTTTCAAAAGAATACACAGCTATATTTCAGTTTAATGTTAGGAGCTGGTATGTATTGAATATGAGAAACTGAAAAAAGCCTGTGTAAAGTGTAAGTGTATAATATGTGACTCTGGGTCCTCATATGTATGGAAATATGAGCGACCTTGATCTACAGCATATTTTAATGTTTGAATTGAAAATCCCATGCACTGTAATCTGTTTTTTTTTTCCTAAAAAAGAGCTATAACATTTTCAAGCACCACATATAAGAGAAGATTTAAATAATCTCTTGTGATGTCCTGGAAGTAATTACAGGAATGTAAAATTTTAAAGTGTGGGGAAAGAGAAAAAATAATATTTTTTTTTCAGTATAAATCTAAAAATTCATATAGCTCTTGTTCTCCTGGGTATACTATCTATAACAAAAACATTGTGACTATCCAAAAATGGTCAATTTACAAAAGACCACAGTCATTAAAAGCAGTAAAATCAGAAATAGATGCCAATTTTCTCTTTGTTTTAGTAATTATACCTTGTTGCCTGTCAGGCAGATTTACCTCAAGTTGTTTTTTTTTTACCTTGGTATATGCTGGGGTCCTTTTGTGACTTGGCTATTATTATAGCTTATTGTTATAGGTATCACTTCAAGTCGTTTTTTGCATTATTGATTATTAGATTTATTATATTTTACTGTATGATCCCTGGATGATTACTACATATAAAAAATATGGGGTGTACAAAACATAAATTAAACCCATTGGAATATAAAAATTCTGACAGTATCAGGCTACAAAGAGCTACAGTACTTGGTGATTTCATACGATAATTCAATTAAAAAGTTTTTTCCGAAAAAAGTTTAAATGGATGTTCTTTACCTTCAATTCTACATACAGTACAGTAGAACTGGTTCTATGACAGTAATGCTTTTAGTATTCAATATATTTTAGTACATATTTTAAAGCTTATTTAAATTAATTTACCATTTTTAATTCAGTTACTTTTGTTACATATGATGGTGTTTCTCAGGTTGTTATGCCATAATATATTGTACAATTGCTATAAATGTGGATTGAACAAAACCAGTACAGTGCCAGGTAGATAATTAAAACAAGCAGTAGTGAAACTAATGCAGAATCTCAATAGGTAAATTGTAGGTGCTGATTAAATGACAGGTACAGATGCAGCCATTCAAAGTGAGCGGTACAGACACGTACCGCAGGTAATTGGCTGCGGTGTCGCGTATCATGACGCGGTGCGTGATTGGTTGACCGACAGGGG